GGACTTATCTCTGGACATCGTCTAAAGTCATTTCGTCTTTTAAGTTCTAGTGTGTAAATTTCAACTGCGTAGTTTCTTTTGTTATTGGACATGAAGAAAAAAATCTCTAGTTCACATTGTCATAGTTTGTCCGAATCTAGAACGATCGAAATATGAATATTGTCACTAACTTTTGAGAAGAAATTTTTCTCTTCTACTTCTCGAAAAAATTTGATGAAACAAAATAAAATTTTCTTTCTTTCACTACAACACTTATTTTAGATAAGAACAATTTACGACGATGGCTGCCGAAGCCCCCATGTCTCCTCAATCATCATCGGCAACAGTCACAACAAGAAACAAGATGCAAGTTATGACCTTTCCATCATTTGATTTTCGTATGTTTGATGATGGTCAATTCAATTTTTTGATCAATTGTTTAGAGATAAACGGTAGGTCTTTTTCTTCTGTCAGTTCTTCTCATAAGGATAAGGAAAAGGTCAACAATGGAAAATAAGAGTGACAGAGTTTCATTTCTTAATTCGTTATCTTCTCATAGAAGGATAGACAAAGAGAAATTTGTTTTCGAACGTATGATGATTACCATACGTGCGTAATTTAAACTTTGAATTTAAAAAAAATGATCGAACAATATTGCGCTTTCCCAACATGCATAACTTTCAAGAGACGTTTTTTAGGAAAACTTGAACAATTCATTTATCACTGAACAAGCATGAAAATGTGCCAGAGAAAGTTTTTGAGTGTAATGAAGTAAGCTATTTCTCGTCATGCAAGAAAATCCCATTTCAACCAAGTATTATTCACACTAGGGGATTCACTTTTCTCACGATATACTTCAACACTCATTACCAATCGTGTTCCAGAAAAATGCGAGTTTTTTCAACATGGAGATTCTCAATGAATTCCAAATTTACAAAATACAAAAATAAAAAACCCAAAAGTCATAAGAGCAAATATCTAAAAATAGTTTAAAAAATCTCACAGTTGAAAAATACGGAAATTTCAAAGATCTGATAATTCAAGAAAAAATCCAAAAAGAAAAAAAAACTAAACAAATAAATGTTAAGTAAAATTCTTAAAGCGAATAGCAATCTAACAGTTTCTCATTCCTCTCTGTCTAAAATATCGGATTATCTTTGCAATTGTGTCAAGCATACCACACATAAACAGAGAAACAGTCACTAAGACCAAAAAAATGAGTTTTAATTCATTTATTACGCAAATTAAAATGAATCGAAAAAATCTACACCGCATTTTCAGGTAGACGGCGATTTAAATACGTGTTACAGACAGATAGTCGGACACACAGACAAGAATGAAGTGATTTCCGTGGTGTAGAATATAAACTTTCAGTCTAGAGAAAATAGCACTCTATTTTTTCAGTATTTCGAATTTTTAATTTTTCCATGCACAGTTATCGTCCATTACATTTGCACATCGAATTAGGGTGAAAAATCTTCAACCTCCGCAACACACTTTAGCGATGACATAACATTTTTTCGTATAGATCATTTACTTCATCAAAGAGTTCTTGAACAGGTGTGTTTTGAAAAAAAAAGGTCTCGAAAATTGAGATTTTTTCTGGGTCTAAATAAATATGAAAACTTTTCTTTTATGTGGCATTCGACAGAGGACACAAGAATGTATGATTTGAGACAAAAAAACTCAAAATCGGAAAAACTAAATTTTCGGAGTCAAGAGAGGGGGTGTACTTAAATCAACTAAC